CGCCAAAGCAGCGGCCTGTGCGATTTGCCTCAACCTCCCAACCCACCATAAAGGTCTCCCCCTCACTCTCACAGAGATTGTGGAGCACACAGCAAGCAGCAATAACAATGGGAATATTGGTTTGGCTGAGGTCTGAGTGAGTCAGTAAAGTGTGCCAGCGACCCTTTAAATGTCCAAATGCACATTCTGCACTTGCTCAGCCTATAGTTGAACAGCTCCTGACTCCTGTCCAGGCTGCCTGTGTATGGTTTCATGAGCCATGGCATTAAGGGGTAGGCTGGGTCCCCAAGGATAACTATAGGCATGTCAACATCCCCAACGGTTATTTTCTGGTCTGGGAAGTAAATCCCTTGCTGCAGCCGTTTAAACAGACTAGTGTTCCTGAAGGCGCGAGTGTCATGAACCATTCCCGGCCATCCCACGTTGATGTTGGTGAAACGTCCCTTGTGATCCACCAGTGCTTGCAGCACCATTGAAAAGTACCTCATGCAGTTTATGTACTGGCTGCCCTGGTGGTCCGGTGCCAAGATAGGGATATAGGTTTCATCTATCACCCCACCACAGTTAGGGAATCCCATTGCAGCAAAACCATCTACTATGACTTGCATGTTTCCCAGAGTCACTACCTTTGGTAGCAGCAGCTCAGTGCTTGCTTTGGCTACTTGCATCACAGCAGCCCCCACAGTAGATTTGCCCACTCCAAATTGATACCTGACTGCCCGGTAGCTGTCTGGTGTTGCAAGCTTCCACAGGGCTATCGCCACTCGCTTCTCAACTGGGAGGGCTGCTCTCATCTTGGTATTCTGGTGCTTCAGGGCAGGGGAAAGCAAGTCACAAAGTTCCATGAAAGTGCCCTTATGCATGTGAAAGTTTTGCAGCCACTGGGAATCGTCCCACACCTGCAACACGATGCGGTCCCACCAGTCTGTGCTTGTTTCCCGGACCCAGAATCGGCATTCCACGGCTAGAACCTGCCCCATTAATACCATGATCTCCAAAGCACCGGGGCCCGTGGTTTGAGAGAATTCTGTGTCCATATCCTCATCACTCTCATTGCCGTGCTGCTGTCGCCGCCTCCTCCTCGCCTGGTTTTTCAGGTTCTGGTTCAGCATAAACTGCACGATAACGCGCGAGGTGTTTACAATGTTCATGACTGCTGCATTGAGCTGAGCGGGCTCTATGCTTGCCGTGGTGTGGCGTCTGCAAAGGTAAGCCAGGAAAAAAGGCGTGAAACAGTTGTCTGCCGTTGCTTTCATGGAAGAAGGGAGGGAGGGACAAAGAGGGGGGCCTGATGACATGTACCCAGAACCACCCGCGACAATGTTTTTTGCCCCATCAGGCATTGGGATCTCAACCCAGAATTCCAATGGGTGGGGGAGACTGCGGGAACTATGGGATAGCTATGGGATAGCTACCCACAGTGCAACACTCCGGAAGTCGACGCTAGCCTCGGTACATGGATGCACACTGCCGAATTAATGTGCTTAGTGTGGCCGCATGCACTCGACTTTATAAAATCTGTTGCCAAAAATCAAATTCTGTAAAATCAGAGTAATCCCGTAGTGTAGACATACCCTAAGGCAGAGAGCTAGCACATTTAAGTGAAGTAGATTGGGTCTTGTGTGGGTCCACACCACTAAATATGGAAATGCAATAGCTACTGAATGCATGATCTTTACAAAGCCAGTGAATATTGCCTCCATAAAAGTACATTTTTAATCTCATATCTGAAGATCAAAATCCACTTTGGTTAAAAATACCCCGAGTAAATCTTCCAGTTTCCTTCTCTTTTTCAGCTACACCCTATGGATGTATTATATATGTCCAACAATGCAACAATCAGATCTCCCTACTGATATCAAGCATATGCAGTCATGTCAACTTTCATGCCCTTTGAGGACACAATCACTTATTTTGTACTAGGTTCAACCTAAGCAGCTAACTAAAGGAGCTACTCTTGCAAATTCAACCGGTCATGATGCTTATTACACAAGTAGTCTCACTGAATTCAATGGGATTATGTACAGTAATAAGCACTATGATCAGGTGTGTTTGCAGGACTGGATTACAAATCATATGGAATACAAAATGGAGTGGTATAAGGGTTTTACTGGCATGCCTTAGGGTTAGTAACTTTATTTTGAGTGATGACACTTAGAGTGAGTCATATGAGTCTTCTCAAATGAGGAATCTCCTACTTCCAATGGGATAAAGCTCCCATTTGTGGGCTCGCAAAGCTAGGAAAATGTGAATTTTAAAACTGTGACATTTATATTTACAGAGAAGCTGTCACTCCCCAGGACCACAGTTTGTTCCTCCTGTGCCTGCATAGGTGTAATTGTTGAAGGAGAAGGGGGAAACATTTCTCTAGCAGGCTGATTCTTTTTAAAGATGAGTCTTAGAAGTTGCTCGGGTGTTTGGAATGTCCAAATAAATCCATGGCTTAACAATTGGTGAGCAGAGGGCAGGTGATATGGTCAAAAGTGAGTAAAAGCATTATTTCATACGTCTCCAATAAATCACATGCTTGTGCAATTTATCACTTTGTGACATTCCCCAGGGTACTATCTGGACTGCTGAACAGCTGTGTCCCCTCAATTCTCCAACCTGTGGTGCCTTTCACACTGCTTTGCTGTGAGAACAACCACTCCTGGCCTGTTCACACACAGCCTCTAGCATGCAAAATCAATCCCAGCTGAATGATGTGAGTGCTCTAGCCAATTACTCCTGAATTATATTGCAGAATGACACCAGCAAATTCCTAGTCCCAGACTTGTCCCCAGAAATTTGTGCCTTATACTGCCAAGCTCTTTCTCTCTGTGCAGTACAAGCTCATAGAAAGTCCATCATTTCATTAGTAGAAAATGATATGCACAAACCCTGTTATCTCAAATGGAGTTTGCAGACACTTCAATCCACACACACGCATTTAGATAAAACAAGTTAATTGACTACAGAAAAATTTTAAGTGATTACAAGTAATGAGGCATAAAATCAGAATTGGTTACAAAGAAATAAAAGGTAAAATGTAAACTAATACCTAACTCAACAAGATAAATAAATTTAAAGCAAAAAGGTTTTTCTCACCACATGATCACAGCAGTCTGGATGGATATTTCCACTATCACATACTCCCCCAGTTCAATGATGCTCCTTTTGTCTTTCAAAAGTTGTTGATACCATGATTAGAGATGAGTGGAGAGAGGTGATTTGTGTCCTCTATTCCTCATTTTTATATCTTTCCCTCCTCTCTGAGAATCATCTCCAGCTGGGGTTCAGGTGACAGCCACAAGTCTGTCTGCCAAGATGTAAATTTCTCACTCACACCCTTCTTCCTGCTAAAGAATGGCTGCTTAACCTGGTAATAATCCACTTGATTATGTTGACACTTGGCTGAGGTGCTGGCTAACCTTTTGTCTCTGAGAAACTGGTTGGGGCTGCTTTCCTAACATGAAGCATGTCTCAGCAATGTCATACTGTAGAATCTTATAACTTTACATACAATGTTGCTACACACATTTTATCAGGACAATAATGTTCAGTAGATGATGAGTTTTCAAATGATACCTTACACGGCATCCTTAGTACAAAATTTATCATGGTCTTTTAAAGTGGTGAACATAAGGGTACAGTCTGTCACACATGTATCATGTTCACATGTTATTTGTGTCTGTCATGCAAGACCCCAGTCAGTGAGTTAGCAATGCATTGGGGGCAGTAGTATCAAAGATTGCTTACATATTTAAAAGAATCATGAATATCTGTCTACTGTCCATCACAGGGAGGAAGTTGCAGTTGTTCTTCTATAGCCCGTGCAAAAGGCGGAATCAAAGAAGTTAGACAACTCTGTATGTTACAAGCGTTGTCTCACCACAACCTTTTAAATAAGCTTTCCCTTTCAAAGGGAAACAATAGTAGCATGACGTGTTAGTGCAGGGGTCAGCAACGTTTGGCACGCAGCTCGCCAGGGTAAGCACCCTGGCGGGCCAGGCCAGTTTTATTTACCTGCTGATGCAGCAGGTTCGGCCGATCGCGGCCCCCACTGGCCGCGGTTCGCCGTCCCGGGCCAATGGGGGCGGCGAGAAGCGGCGCGGGCGAGCGATGTGCTGGCCGCAGCTTCTCACCGCCCCCCATTGGC